AATTGCAGAACTAAATGAAAGAATAATAAGTGGTAAATCAAGTAAGAAATATTAACAGTAAGGTAAAGACAAGATCCGTAATTTTACAATAAGTGGTAAATCAAGTAAGAAATATTAACAGTAAGGTAAAGAAAGATCCGAATCTTACAATAAGTGGTAAATCAAGTAAGAAATATTAACAGTAAGGCAAAGAAAGATTCGAATCTTACAATAAGTGGTAAATCAAGTAAGAAATATTAACAGTAAGGTAAAGAAAGATCTGAATCTTACAATAACTGGTAAATCAAGTAAGAAATATTAACAGTAAGGTAAAGAAAGATCCGAATCTTACAATAACTGGTAAATCAAGTAAGAAATATTAACAGTAAGGTAAAGAAAGATCCGAATCTTACAATAAGTGGTAAATCAAGTAAGAAATATTAACAGTAAGGTAAAGAAAAATCCGAATCTTACAAGCTAAAAACTAACCTAAATTAAAGGAATAAAGATCAAATCAAACAGAGATCATCTGAATGTCACAATACGTGGGTGTATTTGCAACATCAGTAGTTTTGTTCAAGAGATTTTTTAAAATAAACATTATTAATGTGCATTCTATTATAAATCTATTTAAAAATATTTTTGCTCATCCACAGAAAAAAATAAAATCCATGTCAAATTATCCATAAACTCAAAACGAAATCAAGCGTTAAAAAGTTTATTTTGGATATTCGTGCAAAGAGAGAGAAAAAATAATATTGATTGCGATCATCAAATTTTCCGTTTCTGTATAAATTATTCTTTATTTTAATTGTTCACAGATTTTCAATATCCTATGTTACAACTATTTAGAAACAATCCTAGGCAAAGGGGTTAGTAAACGTACATGTTTCATGTCTATACTGAGGTTAGTTACATTGCTTTCAGTAGGAAAATGGGTTAGTAAACGTACATGTTTCATGTCTATACTGAGGTTAGTTACATTGCTTTCAAAAGGAAAATGGGTTAGTAAACGTACATGTTTCATGCATATGCTGTAGTTAATTACATTGCTTTCAATAGGAAAAAGGGTTCGTAAACGTACATGTTTCATGTTTATACTGAGGTTAATTACATTGCTTTCAATAGGAAAAAGGGTTAGTAAACGTACATGTATCATGCATATGCTGTAGTTACTTACATTGCTTTCAATAAGAAAAATGGTTAGTAAACTTACATGTTTCATGTCTATGCTGAAGTTAAATACATTGCTTTCAATAGATAAAAAGGTTAGTAAACGTACATGTTTCATGCATATGCTGTAGTTAATTGCATTGCTTTCAATGGGTAAAAGGGTTAGTAAAGGTACATGTTTCATACATATGCTGAGGTTAATTACATTGCTTCCAATTGTTTGCTTGTTTGAAGTTAAGCACAAAGCTACATAATAATGGGCCATATGTGCTATGCCCACCACGGGTATCGAAACCCGGTTTCTGGCGTTGTATTTGGTATTTGGGCAGCTGTGTTATTAGGAGACATTGATCAAATGTGGAAAATGTTTAAAGATTAGTTTTAAATATTCAAAGTAAACATATTCTTTATAGAAAAAAAACGGTGACTGCAAGTAAAAAACCAGGTCGGCTCACAAAGAGTATAACAGATACAATTTAAGTTTAGAATTTTATTGTCTAATCAACATGGTTTCATTGTGGGAAAATCTTGCCTTACAAATCTTTTGACATTTTTTGAAAAGGTTACTGCTTATGTAGATGAGGATAAGTGTGTAGATTTGGTGTATCTGGATTTTCAGAAAGCATTTGACAATTT